ACAGTGGAAATCAGTTTTGTGTTTTTTCAAATTAATTTGCTGTTGCTATAACACGCATAGACACACAAGCTCCTTTGAACATACAGGGCTGAACTGTAGATTTCTATGAAACACAACTACCATATGTCAACTTCCCTCTTTTTCTGTCCCCATCTGAAAACGCAAAGGCATCAGGACTTGGCTACACCATGTGTTACAGGGAACTTGACACAGATATGCTGACATATTTAAAGGGGGGGGGGGAATCATAAAGAGAAAGGGGAAAAAAGCAAGGACAAAATGTAACACCTTAAAGACTAACAAATTTGTTTCGGTGTGATCTCTTGTAGATTTTTGTTTGTCCCAGGGAGTATATTTTTGATCCACACATGCGCACACTGAAACAAATCTGTCAGCCTTTAAGGTGGTCCAGCACCTTATCTTTTGATTCTCTCTCACACACTCTCTGTCCATTCCCCCTACCCTTTAATTCTGTGGACATGCTGAAGCAGACTAACGCCTAAGTATGTTCCATGAGTCGTACAGCATGTTGTTGTGTTCTTAGATGTCTCTTTCACATTTACTGGAAGCCTTAACAGATTATGTTTAAGCATGGGCATTGTTTCTATTCACCAGGAGTTCCCTAGATAAGAACCTTCAATCAGAATTATTAGTGGCTTGAAATAAGATTTTGTATGATTTTGAAAGAATAGAAAAGGGAAAATGCAGTTCTGTCTATATATATCTCCAAGTCACCATGAAAAAGGATTCAAGAAATCTTATTAGAAAGTGACAAATAACAATTCACCCAGTAATTCACGGAATAAGTCCTCATAACAGAGGGCAATATTATAGTAAACAAAAACTTAAATCTGAATCACCATATTGTCTGATGTGGAGAAAAGGCCATGTATTAAGGATTGTTGACAAATCCCCACAAGTATTTATGTATACTAATTAGTGATTTTCCTTTTACACTAAACCCCAGGGATGCTGGGGAAACAGGGAGTTCTAGAGGGCCTCATCCAGTCATTCTGATTTTCCACAGTGAATGAAGTAGAAACACAAAGGCAACAGAGCACAAGAGAACAGTATTCATGTGCTAATTAGCAAATAAATCTTCACCCACACCAACAGCAGTTACAATGAATTTTGTACATTACTCTCTTGGGTTGTGTCAAGGACAATTTTGATGAGCCACCACAAGGAGGCATTGCACCTCAACTGTTGCCTAAAAATACTAGGATAAGCTACATTTTTCACATTCTGGAAAACTCAAGAAAGGAGCATTTTTCGGGGCTTGCAGCAAGATTACACAGATGATGACATCTGTAATACCATTTAAATGCATTGTCACTGAGGATAAAGGTCTTTTACCTCAGCAGTAGTTTCAGGACCTGGCCTACTCTCTCAAGATCACACACAGTAAATACCGGAGGAACTCTGAATCCCCCCTACACTTTATCTCAGAAAAGTAAATGGCTGTGCTAACAACACTAAATAACTGATGGTATGAGATGGGATATTCTAACAAATACTCCATTTCTGTCCAACCTTTTGGACCTATGGATGAATGAGTCTGCTGCTCTGGGTGGAAATGTCAGGAATAATTAGATGTAGTTTACAACTGCACAGCAGGCCTTCCTTTTCTGATCACAAGAGCTGGTATTAATGAGCTATTGGTTCTTCATTTTTTTAAAAACTGAATCTGTTGGTTCAAGAAAGTACTGGTTAAATGTATAACCGCACTGTTTTATGATTCCATCCCATAATGAACAAAAAGTCATGATGTTCATTAGTGGCATATATACTGTATTCTGAAAGTCATAGTTTTAGAAACAAGCAAAATATGCAATGCTGACAACACACTGTGCATGATGCACAGAATACTGTACACATTTAAAATCGGAGTCAATTTGCTACAAACTGAGGCATGTTCCTCTGTACCATTTTTCAAATAGTAAAAATCCATCTTGCTATGCCTTATTTTTAACTGCAGGAGTTGTACAGTTGTTATTTCCTTTTTCGAATAGTTCCAGTTCTTTGAGGAATATTTTATTTTCAAATGCATATTACTTGTGCAATCTCCAATCCTGTAGAACAGTACAGGATCCTACATTCTTCATTGCTGGTGCAGTAGTGATTAATACACTTCACTTGTAAACAAAATCTCATCAGTGTTGGAAAAATTGGTTGCTTCTTAGATCTTGTTGGACTGCAACTCTGAGTAACCCTAGGTAGCCTAGTCAATGGTGAGATATGAGGGGACTTAACGTCTGAAATCTGGATGGCCCATCCTGCTGTATATCATCCACATGAAGGCTGGGCAAAATGCAGCCTACATGGTTGCATGCAGAACACCCCCAAGAGCCAAATGTGACTTTACCAAGCCTCCCCAGACTACTCTCCTAAAATGGGTGGCCTCAAAAAGGCTAATCAATCACCAACTCCCACAACCAGTCAATCAGTTTCTGTGTTTTCAAAAGAATGTTTAAAACTTAAAATAGGTGCTTCCGGGAAATGGATTGTGCAGGGCAAATCATGCACCCTCTGAGGCTTCTGGGGCATGATCTGCATTTTTAGAGCCCAGTCTTTTTGGGTGTGGGTGTCAGGATTTTTGTGGGGGGCAAAGGTGTTGGAGGGAATGTGCAGTCCTCCAAGATCTGGAGGACAACAGAAATGCTCTCCCACCCTTGAAAGGTGCCTGCTGCTAATATACATGGTAAAATATCTCTAAAGTGACTGTAATCCCACTTGACAACTGCTCAAACCACCCACAAACAGCATCATCCCACCACTCTTTCAGCACTGCTGCCTACTTGCTTATGCCCCACATAGCATTCATCTTATTTGTGCACTACCAGAGATGGGGCGGTGGGGGGGGGAGAGTATCGACTTTCTTGTCCACCTCATAAATTACTGGAAAGATCTAGGCATCTCTGGCAGGTGAGAAGGCAAATACATTGGTGCTGATGCTGAAAATTTAAGAGGGATTTTCATAGGTGTCAGTAGCAGTTTTGGAGCTGCTAGCGGAATCTAGAGACTTATCATCATCATCATCTCTGTTTGGGGGTCCTTTATAAACAATGTCTCAACATTATATTGTTAAGGAAGTCAACTACAATGAAAATATAATCCAGAAAAAACGGATTATAGAAAGCATAGATGGAAACAAAAAACATTCTACTCAACAATCAGCATGCAGACAGACTGCACATTGATTCCTATATGGAACTACCTTCCATGAACATACATTGGAACTCGTAATGCAGCTCTTCAACCCAGAATCATTGTGCTGTATCACTAAGGAAGAATTCTGCCTTATACATTTAGTGGAAGATCTAATAGCTGAGCAGAGTTTTAGCTGTAAAACAGCTATCACTTGCAACGGAAAGTGGATGCCAGCTGTATGCACTAGCATATATACTTCTAAAATATGGCAAATTGTTCAGGGACAGGGAGCATTTCTGAAATAGGAATATACATGGAATGATCACAGAAGTCAATCTGCTTTAATGCAATGGGGATCCTGGCAAGACAAATTGTAAGACAGATTTATTTATTTTATTTATTTATTTTTGGAGTTATATACCGCCCCATAGTGCTTCAAGCACTCTCCAGGTGGTTTACAATTTAATTATACAGGCTACACCTTGCCCCCCCCCCAGCAAGCTGGGTACTCATATTACCGACCTCGGAAGGATAGAAGGCTGAGTCAACCTTGAGCCGGCTACCTGGGATTTGAACCCCAGGTCGTGAGCACAGTTTTAGCTGCAGTACAGCGTTTTAACCACTGCGCCACGAGGCTTTAGCCGCGCAGATGTCAGGGGGAAGGTTATTCCAGAGGCGAGGAGCCCGATTTCTTGTCTTTTCTTTCCGGGCCTCCCTCGGCGTTAGGCTCCTCAGCCTCACCTCCTGACTTGTGCGAGTGACACATTCCGCCAAGTATCGAGGCCGTTTAGGGCTTTGTACGTAAGCATCAACACTTTGAAGTCGATGCGGAATTGGATGGGCAGCCAATGCAGTGCAGCCAGAGTGGGTGAAATATGTTGGTATTTTTTCACACCACTGAGAAGTCTGGCCGCAGCATTCTGCACCACCTATAGTTTCCGCAGCAGCCTCAAAGGCAGCTCCACGTAGAGCACATTGCAGTGGTCTAATCTTGAGATTACGAGCGCATGTACCAAGGTAGTGAGGCCCCCACGTCGAGATTACAAACCCATGGCCTTACTCAAAGGACTTGGAGATAGATGTGTAAAGAGGAGAGCACATTAGACAATGATTGCTATACTGGGTGCACAAAAAAGGTTAAACCTGTAGCCTATTCAGAGTAGACAATCACAAAAGCCTTGAAGTGGATAAATATTTGAGCTTCTGAATGACAGAATATCTGAGAATGGACAAAAACAGTACTCTAATAGCAAAAGCAGTCCTGACTGCACTAACTGCATTATCATGAGGGGGAAAAAATCCAGATAAACTTTTGTTGGGTAAATCTGGGTTACATTTTTCCCCCATTTAAGTTTCCAGTAAAACCAACATAGATGTTTTACTTATATGATAGGGAACAACTCCATTACTGTTATCATCTGTGCATCTCCATGGAAACAAATGCCAATCACAGGATTATCCAAATAAATTGCTCATTAAAATTTCAGCAATAGTCATGCTATCTTATTTTGCTTAAGAAAATGCCCCTTAGAAAATTTAGGGCAGTCACATGCATGTTGGTCTGATGATTGTAAAACCAAAGTAACCCCCTCACAAACTAATGGGAATTCCTTGCCCAAAGAATTGACAAAGACTGAGCGCACCCACCAATGTAGTGCCATATGGTAATCTTTTCAACCTAGTGCCTGTCAAGCCAACACTACTTCTGTTTTTAGTGATTTGAGTAAATGTAGTAGGCTTTTAAAAGAAACAACATACATACTATAATCTTCAAATTAATGTTGGTTTAGGGCATGAAGAGTTTGTTATCATAAAGAGAAGGCCACAATGCTTGCTGCTAGCTTGCCTACCTTGCTCTCCTCAGGGCATCTTCATCTGGGTCTTGCACTGTAGGTGAGAAATTGAGAAAAAGTCAAGTCAAGAAGGCTAGTTAGAGTTCACAGTCTAACTGCTAACAAGGGAAGGGGAGAAGATAGCTCAGATTCCTTGGGGCAAACGTATATACTACATGGAAGATCTATGAAGGATTGCCCTACCAACACTCCCAATAAAGAAGCCATGGGCCTTTGGCTTTAGACCAAAGTCAAAGCTTACATGGGAGGATTAACCCTTTGAAGTTCCTATTACTAGACACGAAGGAGACAAATGTACATGTGCATATTGTATCTGTATCTTGTGCCAATAGCAGGGTTTTTTTTGTGGGGAAATTTGCCTAATCAGGAAATGAGAACTGAGGGAAAATGTAACCCCTCTTCTCTATGCTGTGGCCCTGGTCTAAATAGCACCTTTCCCACAAGTATGCTTTGAGGAAAAGAAAAGATGTTGGAAGGTCCACAGATCTCCAACACAAGGGACAGCTTGGCCCTTTGTCTGGCAAATTGAGGAATATTTTTTTCTGCTAATTAGAAAAATAATATTCAATAACTGAACCTCTAGATGGAAAAAATATTGCAGATATGCTGTTGCATATCCACACCATTGTTTTGTGGAAGAAACATGTGGGTTATAAAATGTTAACTTGTTGGCAAGTTTGAATTTGTGTTCAATAACCTGAACTAATATGTTGAATTAAAATAGAGAAAACACATTTGTAGTATCTTGTTTAGTTTAGTAGACTTTTACAAATCTTTTTAATCTTCAGCTAGAGGGCCACTTAGTACTTTCAGTTTATGCAACACTTTGATTTTTGCTGTTACAGTTAGAATAATAATAAATGTTTTTGTAATACTAAACACCAAACAGAAAAAACCCTACAGGGGCAGGAGACATGATAATGGTTTCTTCTAGGGCTTTTCCATTTGAAATGGTTTTCTATCACATGTTCTAACTCAGTGGTTCTTAACCTTTGTTACTCGGATGCTTTTGAACTGCGACTCCCAGAAACCTGCTTTTTCATTTGAAATGGTTTTCTACCACATGTTCTATCTGAACTATTACTGATTTGAGTTTTTATATTATATTTACTTGATCCAGTTCAGTCTTGCTTCAGATCTGGTTTTAGACAGAAACAATGGTGAAAATCCTGTTGCTTAATGTAATAAATCACAGAACCATACATCCATTGAATCAATGGAGAATTGGTGACTATCAACTCCTCAATAAGTTCAATTGATTAAGCCCATTTGAATTAATAAAATTTACAGAGTCATTAAATCCACATGGATTCAATGGGCTTACTCTAGTGCAATTTACTGCACTAAACAACAGGATTTTGGCCACTGTTGGAAGTTTTGTTGGTTGATCTACACCCAAAAATCCAGGCCAACTACTGACCTGCTGGTATGTTTGCCATCTAAAGTAGCCACCATACAGCATGCATTTCTCCTGCATTATTTGGAACAGCTAATCATTATATAATGGTAATCCATCCAGGGATTTTACTCCATTTTGGTCATCAGCAAATAAGTATAGGATTTGGTTGCAAGTCTGATTGTTCAGACACAAACCATGGGAGGAACCATATCACTGGAACATGTCACATATTTTCCTTTCCTATGCACATACTGTCTGTACAGTCTAGTTTAACCCTCTGAGGGTGACCGTTGTAGAGTTTACTAGACCACACAGGCAGTTAGAGTGAGCCATTCCATAGGTTTCAATGCTCAGTCATAGCGGTATGGATCCATTGGGAGTGATTATCTGGACTTCCCAGTGGGGCGTCATCAAAGAGTGATGGCACCCAACTCAGGATCTAACATAACATAAGACATGAAAGAAAATATGCCACCACAGTTACCACCACCACCTGCCCATCTAAAGCCTTATTTGATAGTCTTGGAACCATCTGAACAATATGGGGCATGGTGTGGGAGGTGGCGAAGCAACCCAAACCAGGCAGACCTCTGCTTGACTTGGGGGAACTTCCCCCAGGTCTAGACTCAGCACCCATGGAAAACCCGTCACAACTGGTCTTATCTCCGCTTCAGAGTGGTATAGATTTATCAGATGGGTCACCCATGGAAAACTCGTCACAACTGGTCTTATCTCCGCTTCAGTTTTTTCATTAACTCTTTTGTTACAACTCGGTGCTTAGAGGAGTAGGAATGTGTAAGAAATTTGCTCCGCAGGCATTTCCTGCTTTTTGCAGATTTGCTCAGTCTTCAGCTTTCATAGAAGTGAATGCAATCAGCAGCCACAAAATGGATGCATTTTCAGGCCTAGAATGTGTTTCACAAAAATGGGGGGGAGGAAGCATTTGCAAGATGCGTGTTTGGAAAATGCACACAATTCTTAGGAAATTATATACATTTCTAAAATGTGCACAGGTATACTTAGATCCAGGCCTAGGTAAAGTGTACTCCTCCAAGTGCTGATGTACTACATTTTGCTCACCCCTGCCTAAGTCAGCAGGAGAATGGGTTTATGACTGTGTCCAATAGAAAAAAATCATGTGAAAATATACGTAAGCTTCCCCCCACCCATTAAAAATATCTCCATGAAATCAACATGAAATAGAAGTTTAAAAAGAAAGGTATCTGTGGAAATATTACCAGAGGTTTTGTGGTAAAATCCAAATGCCCCTCACCTCACGACAGCAGATGCCCTTGCTGCCATCACCTTTGAATCCCAGTAAGCTTATAGGAAGATCTAGCTTGATTTTTTTTAGTGGAAGGTCCGCAAACTATTGCTGGGTAGTGATGGAAGGATTTTGCCAAAGGCCCTCTCAAACTTTGTGATGGAATACAGGGATTCACTGCTAGAGCCACGGCCTTTGTAGATCACTTCAAGTCTCTCAAAGTATCTCCCTAGGACTGAGACATTGTTTACCTTCTTTGCTTTCCGTCTTTAAGGATAGTGAAATCCATCCCTTTCTTATTAGGTTTTTTCCATGTACTCCTTTTACAATGACTTTTATGACTGCCCAATACATTTCCTATGTATTCGTTCTGTTTTCTTAATTGATTTTGCATAATAGTACTTTAATTTGTCATTTAAAAGTGTTCTTATGAACCACTTTTAAATGACCAAAGTACCACTTGTCCTTTTGTTCATGTGGCAAATATATTTTAAAGCGTACTCTGAAAAAATAACAATATAGAAAACTTATTTACTTAGGTTTTTGCTTATTATATGAGCATTATGGCCCATGATTCTACTTAGACTGAAGGATTTATTTCAAGTTGGAGACCTAGGACATTAGCTATAGAAGATACACATGAAAAAAAGGAAGGAAGGAAGGAAGGAAGGAAGGAAGGAAGGAAGGAAGGAGCTATAGAAGATACACATGAAAAAAAGGAAGGAAGGAAGGAAGGAGGAAGGAAGGAAGGAAGGAAGTAAGGAAGGAAGGAAGGAAGGAAGGAAGAGGAATTCCATCAAAGAGGTGAACTGGGACTTCCCAGTTGGACTTACTGTACTCAGTTCCTGTCATCTGAGCCAGGATGCGGAAGGACCTGGATTGCAAGTTGGAGGAACGGCGGCTCCAGTCATCAAGCTCCTCTTCAGGCTTGTTCTGAGTTTTAAGTACAGCCTGATACACTGGGGAGGCACTGTCTACATGAGGATCTTTAACAGGGAGGCTACTGCAATGCAGAAAGAGGTGTACTGTAAAATGGCTAATGCTGACTTCCCCTTCCCTTCCCCAGACCCCCGTTCTGCAGTTTGTCTTCGAAAACCCTGTTTCTGCTTATGCACTGTCCAGCAATATGGTATATTTCTGGTAAATAAAAATAACACGTGACAAATTGAAAAATTCTGAACTGACTTGGTTGACCAAATGAGGATTAGGATGGTATTACTATTCTCCATTTCATGGCTGTCATTCTCTGGAACTATGTGTCCTTTTAAAATCAGGACATGTACATTCTGTATTATAGTATCAAGTCAACTACCAACAAGATAGGCCAGGAACATAAAACAACCAGAAGATCATCTAAATCATTTATAAAGAAGTTCAGAAAGCAGTATTACTTGTGTATCACATATGATAATTTATGAGGCTGCTTGCAGCTGGTTTGATATCCAAGAAGAGCCATTTGGTTTATGAGACAGAATCCCCATACAGCTTTAGTTTGATTTGATTGAACAAAAACTCTCAGCTTTTGTGCTGGAATGCTAACCTGCAATCAGACTGTCATAAAGTCTGCTCCATCAAGGAATTAAAAATGTTATCTTTATTTAATGGTACTAGACTGGACCTAGAAAGGGTCATCATCATGCCTATGATAGTCTCATGGGAATAGTCTGAATGAAAAGAGACTGGCACTCTTCTATTGGTACGATCAAAACAGTATTCACATAAACATGTTGGAGATTGTCTTCTCCAATACATACCCAGTCAACCCCTGAGATCCTCATTAGACTAGAGCTTTGTTGGTAACCACCATCAAACAAAACAGCACCAGTCAACATTGCAAAGGTGGCCTTTTTAGTACTGGCACTGACCCTCTGCAGCAATTTTGCCATGCAAGTCAAAAGGAAGAAACAGTGCAGAGTCTTAAGGACCTCTTAGAATAATATTTATTCACAAAGGTCTTCCCTCTCTAATAATCAAATCCTTTATGTTGTTGATGTGCATTTTAAAATATAATTTACTAGTTTAGACATGTCTAAAAACTATTTTCTTATGTTCTCTCTTGCATTATACATGTAACCACAGTGGCTCCCTGCTTCCATTTCTAAATGCTTGTGTACCCTCCAGGTCTCAGAAATGTATGATTGGAAAAGATCATTAAAAGCACAAGTAAGATCATTGTCGGAACAATTATCAAAATGTAAACAGTGCCTTTCTTTGCATGTCTAGTTGAAGAAATGTGAGCTGCAAAGAAGAGCTCAATGCTGGAGAGAAAACATTGTATGCGCAAGAAAGAGGCTTTGCTTTCAAACTTGTGAAAACACAAATTTTCAAGTTTCAGTCCTTAAGAGATCTTATTCTATTGAACAAAGTATAAAGGCAATAAATAAATACAATTAAATAAAAGGCATCATAATTAAAAATGCCCACCAAAGAAACCTTTTGTGATAAGAATCCATTGTAATCTGAGCCTCCTGCTTAAAATCTATGGATTGTTCAGTAAGATCATGTGCAACAACAGGGTGGAGAACTTATGCTCTTACTGTTGTGTACCAACTCCCATCACTCTTGGCCAGCTGATGACAAGTAGCCCAGCACTCAGAAAGCCAACAATCCAGACCCTGTGCTATTACAGCCTTGCTGAATCAAGCCAAAGTCCATTTGATCTACTGTTTTGTTTTCAGCAGTAGCCAGATGGATGCTTCTGGAAGCTCACGAACAGACCACTAATAAAACAAGTTTTCCCTTGTCATTAATCCTTTGCATTCAAATCAGCTTGTTTTGAGGACACTCAACATTTCACATGTGGCATGGACACCTCTTAGCCCAAGCAAGCCTACAAGCCTGCCAAGTGAACTTACAAGGGTAAAGCTAAAATGCATCACATGGAGAGCAAAGTTACAAAATCCACTGGATGAACAAAAGTTCTGTAAGTGGGAAATTAGAAAGCTCAAAAGGGGAAGGAAAAGGGAATAAAAAACAAAAAACAAAATTCGCAAAGAATTGGCAGCATTTGAACAAAGGATATCTTGAGAGGTCTCCTTAGTGCAAAGAAAAATGCAGAAACATCATACTGGTCTGAAGAGCGCTCATTTGTATATGATGGCAAATATGTATAGAAATTCCTTGAATGTGCATGCAAAGAATGCATGTCTTCAGGAATTACTTGTTACTAGAGGGCAAATGTTGGAACAGGTGTGCCATGGAGAAGTAATTATGCACTGAAGGCATACAAAATTAAAATTAGCTATTAATTCTTTCTTCAGTTTTCAAAATCTTTGAAGGTAGGATATAAAAAACAAATGTATGATTATTCTTAATGCAGCTTTCCTTTAAAAATCACACCCTTAAAAACACACTGCTATATTTCTTTGAAGTCTGTGGAGTTCTTTGAACCACATATTATATTCTCCTTGGCCATCCTGTTGCTATAGGGAAAAAAAGGCACTGAACCAACAGTAATAATCCTCTTTTTGGTAGATCCCACTGAAGGTTCATTGCCAAAATTCTCATCCAATTGTTATATTAAGTGGATTTCTGGGAGGAGTTATTAACTTTCTTCTCTTCCCCCAGGCATATAATATCAGACTTGACAGAGGTTCTCTGGTGGATGAGGATGCCCATTTCTTACATGGTCTGTTTTCCCACAGCAGAATGGTGGCCAATAACTACACAGTATGTCCTCTAATATCTTCAGTCACTTTAAAAAGATTCACTAATACATTTTTAAGGTTACAGACTTGGAGTGAAGTATACAATAAATAGGTTAGCATGACAGGCCAGCGAGCTGACGATTAGCTAACCTGCCGCACTGTTTCTGTGCATTCAGGGTTTATATTGGGCTACTTAGTCATAAGCATGCTATTGCTCCACCTTAACCACTCATGTTTTTCCCTGTTTATGCTAAACAGTAAACGTGATGGAGATGGTCATAATCAAAAACAAACTATTAATTAATTCAAATGACCATAGCACCCTGAACAAATTGGATCGTGTCTGATTTTGGAGGCTAAGAAAGTCAAATCTGGTTAGTATTTGGATAAGATACCACTAGGGAATATCTCTAAATAGGGCTGGGAGAAAATCCTGCCTGAAACCTTGGAAAGCTGCTGTCAGTCAGAGTTCACAACACTGACCTAGATGGATCAAGCTTTGATTTAGGATAAGGCAGCTTCCTATCACTTCCAATAAAATGACTGTAGTTGTGAGAAGCAGGCATCTTTATAACTGGGAATTCACATACGGCACCTATATTTTATATGAAATTATTTGAATGATGGAGCGAAGAGGTCCGTGCCCACTCCCCAATCACATTTAGTGGTCTGATTTGGTAGTGAGCCATTAAAATTAAAAATGCCCAGCAGTGCAAATGTTTTTAACTCTTGTGAATTTGCGTTGTGTCACTCAGTTTAGGGTTTGATAGATGAGAAATGGTTATAAAATTTTTAAAACTGAAAAGGAGTGTTAGAAGAAAAAGGTATATAATCTGCACTGCTTTCATTCTATAGAGTTAGAAATAGAAATTTACTTACGCCAACGGAGATTCACTGTGAGTCATATGATCAAAACCCAACAAAGATCATTGAGTGTTTTGGGGTCCATCATTATCGAGAGTTGGGATGTGCACAACAGAACAACATTAGTATGAGAAATTAGCGAAAACCCAAATGGAATGTGTAAAGGAGGGGAAAAAAAGAAGAAGATACCATTATCAATAAAAAGGAGCACGAGGGACCAATCAACATATTAGCAACTGGAATAGGTTTGCTGGTTATCAATTCTAGGCAGGCTGTTAAAGCTGAGCAGTCACATTACTATTCTGTAACCCTAAGTAGATTAATACATTTCGAGTTTACACAGAAAGCAATAGTAAGAGACCATGTATGCAGCAAGAGGGCTGTACACATAACTGAGTCAATGGAGAATGAGCTCTTGCTAGCAACTTGCAAAAGCACCACACCTTTCACATATAAACACAAAATGAAAATGGTGTGGGTCTGTACATATGTGTGTGTGTGTATGAGTGAGTGAGAGAATATTCCTAAACTTTTCGTCGCCCCCCTCTCCATAACACCAGATATCCAAATTTTAAAAAGATTAATCTGGAGCCTCATTTGCCTCTCATTTTTGGCCAAATGATTAGATGATGATACAAAATTATACAAAAGCATCCGTTTAATTCAAGATTTAAATAATTTTGCTGAACATTCAAATCAGAGAATCCTATGTAAATAAATACTGGCTTAAATCCTGTTACTTAGCATGGTAAAATGCACCACAGTAGGCATTCTTATTACATTCTATTGATTCCAACAGCCTATTCTACTTGCAGCTTACTTTAATGTAGTACGTTACAGCTAGAGTAAGCCCATTTAAATAAATGAAAATCATGGAGAAGTTGATTCAACAAATCCCCACTGATTCAATGGGATTATTTTAGTGCATCTGTCATAAGGAACAGTTTTTAGCCAAGGTATGCTACTAACACATAGGATATAATTGTGTGCGATCACTGTAGATATTATATAGGGACACTCCTGATCTTCATGCAGATCAGGAGATCAAAACAGTCTCCTTCCATCTGCACTAATACAGAGAAAGTGCTTGATATGTGCAGCCACATCCTATCCCCAGCAATCTAATTTACATCTGTATGCATATGTTTGATTATATGCAGAGCAAAGAAGGTAGATCTTTAAATACCCTTGTTTTACACATTCATCATAGACTCCTTTGCATATATACCTGAAATAAAAATGATTCTGCTACTATAAAGCACTTCATATACACAGAGGCCTTTCTCAGCATTGTGGCACTCTCATGAAAACCCTTTTGCTCTGAGAAATACTCAGGTGTGAGATTATCCTTGAAACAAAAGGTTTCCAGGAAAAAAAACACTCAAAAAAATCATAATCCAACGGAGACATAATATCAAAGATTAATGGTAAAATGGACAAGCAAAAAGTGTTATTAGCCAGTGAGAACTCTGTTGCCTCTCCCACATTTTAT